GAAGAGGGACCACTCTTGTCCCACATTTCTCCAGAAGTTAAGGCCAAGATCAAGAGCTGGAAGTTCTAATAGGAAGCCATGTGGCCTGCTGTAATTGAGAACTTTCCAAAAGGACGGTGACTGATTCATTGGGCTGAGCCAGAACAGTTTCTTTTTCCTTTTTCAGTGTATTTTAACCACTTCTAGAGTGGGCAGATTTAGCTTGACTAGGATTTAGGGACAGAAGACTTTGTGAACAGAAGCAAATGCTGATTTTCTTTCTTTTTCTTATTACAGAAAACAAAGTCTTTTACTCGAGTGGTTGATGGTCTTTTCTTTCCTGATGAGCCTCTGGAATTATTGACTCAAAAAGCATTTAAAGCAATTCCTTCTATCATCGGAGTCAATAGTGATGAGTGTGGCTTCGTCCTGCCCTTGGTAAGAATCCTGGCCACCCTCCTGCCACTCCATCAACAGTGACACGGCTGTTTGCTTTAAAGGTCATTTCCAGAGATAACACCAATGGCTTGAGGCTTGACCCCAGCATCCAAATCCACAGATCATCTCTTACCTCTGAAAGAAAACTGAAGACAAGGAGAGCAGGATTCACAGCACATGTCTGACAGGCTCCTCATACAGATTTAGAAGGAAGAAGCACCTGTCTAAAAAGGAAGGAAAAGATTACTATCCATTTGGTCTTTAATTTTTTAAAAAAACATTACAAATGATCATTTCAAATAAATATAGTTACGACCTCACCACTGAAATGCAGATGAGTTTGAAAACTTCAGTCCTTTAAACTTTTCATGTCCAGCCTTGGTTCTGACATTTTGACCTCCAAAAATGCTCTCTAAGGTTATCCAAGTTGCAAAATTGTTAACTCATTTTATTTATTCAAAAAAGTATGTACTGAATGTTTTACTGCATGCTTATAAAAATTGAGCGCTCAAGGCTGAACTACGGAAGTACATGCTGGTAGACATTGCTACTCTGCAGACTGAGGCCACAAGGACAGCCCGGGTTCAATTCCCCATCCATCCCTTAAAAGCTGGGTGTGTTGGCACATACTTGTGGTCCCAGTTACTCAGGAGGCTGAGGCAGGAGGACTGTGACACAGTGAGACACCATCTGGAAAAATTAAAAACAAAAACTTGGGACCAGCAAGTGGCATGGTGGTTAAGGTGCTGGACACTCCCACATGGCCAACCATGGTTTGAGTCCCAGACCTGGTGGCTTGCTTTCTCAATATCTCTCTCCCCATTAAATTAAAATTAATTAATTAATTAAATTAAAAATAAATAATTCTTTTTTTTTTTTTGAGAGGTTTTTGCTATAGGGCACGTGCATTCTCCAGAAAGACAGAGTGAGGCAGAGAGACAGAAAGCAAGAAATTACCCCTTCTCCTCCATTATCCTCTCAGGATTTTGGGCATGCATGCACACGTGACTAGAGTGAGTTTTAAACCACCAGGTCTGGGACTCGAGCTGGTTGACTATGTGGAAGTCAAGCGACGTAACCATTACACCTTCTGTTGGTCCTCTAGACTCTGCTTTTAAATTCTAGACTCTCTGCTTGCCTGTTTTGTGATGTTACGTGAATTGCCTAACCTCTGTGAATCTCTGTCCCCTCATGTGACATGAGGTAACTTCAGTGCCCATCTCACAAGTACACATCAAATATCCTGGCATGTGCACTCACAGATGCATATCAAATAGCCCAATCAGTAAATGACAAATACTGGAATTATTCATGTGACAGGATGGGAATTGGTTCTCAGATTACAGCTTACGAGCCTGCACAGGTGCTGATATTCCACGGGAACTAGTAGTTAGGCCCATTTCTGGTTGAACTATGTTCTGGCTATTGGAGACCACAGAAAATCCTCCAACAACAAAGTCCAGCTCCTTAACACACAGAGAGCATTTTTAATAGTAAAATTATGGTATGGACAATTTGAATCACTGTAAGTAGATTCCAGGAAATTTATTTGACAAGAGACAAATATTTCCCTTGCAGATATCTTTTTAAATTTATTTATTTCATGAGTGAGAAAGAGCACTCCTAATAGGATCTTTTCTTTCTCTTTCTTTCTTTCCTTTTTTTTTTTTTTTTTTTTTTGGGGGGTTTTTTCTTTAGGGGTTGTGGACTCCGCCGAATTTTGCTATAGGGTGTGTGGACTCGCCAGAAAGACAGAGACAGACAGAGAGACAGAAAGTGAGAAATCATCCCCCAGGGGGGATGGCCATGCCACAATCCCTTCTCCTCCATTCTCCTCTCAGGATCTTGGGCATGCACGCACACGCACCCGGCGTGAGTTTAAGCTGCTGGGTCTGGGATTCTAACCGCAGTCGAATACATGGGAGTCCAGTGACATAGCCATTATGCTAACTGCTGGTCCCTCCTAATAGGATCTTAACCCTGTAATCCATCCCTACCCTCAGCCAGCCCTCGATTATGGGCACACATGTATGTGCCTGGTGTACTAAAGGAAGTCTCCAGATATAAACCCAAACCTTTCAGAGAACTGTGTTTTACCTCTGTACCACTGTCCAGCTCCCAATTAAATGAATATTGCCAGGCAGTGGTCCTTTAACAAATAATTACATGTAACTCCTCCAAGCACTATCGCACATGCTTTACTAATACCAACTCAGTTCTCATCACAGATGAGTCAGGTGGGTACCATTGCTATCTCCATCTTAGAAGTGAGGCATCTGAGGCGTGATTGGTCGATTGCCAAGTTCACGGCTGGTGAGTGGCAGAGTGGGTACTGAAATCCAGCCCATCTTGCTGCAGAGCTCCTGTCCTCAACCCAGCCTCATGCCTTGCTGCCCAACTCCCTGCTGCTGGCTGCTCACAGGCCCTGACTGCAAAGGTCTCTAAAAGCAGAACAACAAACCAGTTTCAAGATCTGCTGGCTTCTCTTTGAACTTGGTGTTGAAACCAAGTCGTGGCCTATAGTGGTGAGCTTGGACTCCCAACAAATTCCACAACTTGGGTGGCTTAAACAACAGAAATCCATCTTGTCATGGTTCTAGAGATGGATAGTTCAAGATCAAGGTGTCGGTGGCTGTAGTGTCTTCTGAGATCGCTTTCGTTGGCTTTCGGGTGGCCACTTTCTCACTGTGTTCTCATGTGCTCTTTCCTCTGAGTGCTCAAAATCCTCCCAGTATCTCTTTGTGTATCTACATTTTCTCTTCTTTTAAGGACACCAGTGAGATTGAATTGGAGCCTACTCTACTGGCCCCATTTTAACAGAATCACCTTTTTAAAGTTCCTATCTCCAACTGCAATCACATTCTGAGGTGCTGGAGGTTAGGGTTTCAAGAAGTGAAATGTGGGGAAACACTCTTCACCCCAGCCTAGGACCCTATGTACGGGGTGGCCACTCAGGCCCTTTGAGGCATGAGGTATGATGGGATGGCTGCCCTTTGTCAAATGTGAGAAGAGGAGATTCACTGTCTGACCAAGCTGCTGAGGCAGCTCCTATGCATGGCCACGGCTTAAACAACAGAAATCCATCTTGTCATGGTTCTAGAGATGGATAGTTCAAGATCAAGGTGTCGGTGGCTGTAGTGTCTTCTGAGATCGCTTTCGTTGGCTTTCGGGTGGCCACTTTCTCACTGTGTTCTCATGTGCTCTTTCCTCTGAGTGCTCAAAATCCTCCCAGTATCTCTTTGTGTATCTACATTTTCTCTTCTTTTAAGGACACCAGTGAGATTGAATTGGAGCCTACTCTACTGGCCCCATTTTAACAGAATCACCTTTTTAAAGTTCCTATCTCCAACTGCAATCACATTCTGAGGTGCTGGAGGTTAGGGTTTCAAGAAGTGAAATGTGGGGAAACACTCTTCACCCCAGCCTAGGACCCTATGTACGGGGTGGCCACTCAGGCCCTTTGAGGCATGAGGTATGATGGGATGGCTGCCCTTTGTCAAATGTGAGAAGAGGAGATTCACTGTCTGACCAAGCTGCTGAGGCAGCTCCTATGCATGGCCACTGAGAGGCTTCCTGTTCTCCCAGCCCTCCCTGGGAAAGTCAGTGCCTGGGCCCTCAAGGAGACTGTTTCACTTTCTGCTGACCAGATGGCTCACAGAGGCCTCCCTATTTCTCTCTGCAGACGGAGATACCTGAGGTCCTTGGTGGTGCCAACAAGTCTCTTGCCCTGCACATGATACACACTCTCCTGGTAAGTGAACTTGGCTGGCTGTGGCTTTCTGGAGATTTATTCATTTAACAAACACCCCTGGGTCACACTCAGAGATAGGAACTGAGAGTATAGACATTCCCCACTGATTCATTCAGTCAGTCAGCAGACCTTTACTGAATATAATCCCACAGCCCCCCTTTATCCATAATCTCAAGGTCCAAAGAAAAGCAAAGGTTTTTTGTAATATGTCAGCCAAGCTTGATCGAGACTGATTTGTGGCCAGTCTTCATCTCCACATGTCCATTCGCTTTATTGGTCCCACTAGTCATGTACCAAATGAACTCTCTACCGTTTGAAAAGGCCTTAATTCTGGAATGCACAGGGGACTAGAGACCTGTATTCACTACACGCCAGCCAGACGTCATGCTAAGTTCTAGCAATGCCCGCCATTTACTCACTCAGTAATTTTTTACTCAGTCATTTACTCACTCATTCCCTGCACGAGCATATCAGCATCAAGTCTTCCTCTAGACACCAGTACACAGAGATGGCTTCCTTTCCCTTTTTAGTTTTTCATTTATCTTCATTCTTTTCTTAAACACTTCTTCGATGTGTACTTGATGCCAGATTCATTTCATTCATTTATTCATAGAAGAAAAGTTTGTCGAGACCCCACAGGCTCCAGCACTTCCCTGCACCCTGGGGAGCAGTGTGGGGTAGACACACATAGCAAGTCATTTCAGTGCATTTAAGCCAGCACAGTCCAATGTCCCAGGCTCTGTGTGACCACCGGAGGGGGCAGATGTCTCAGGGAGAAGGGTTTTGGATGATTAGTAGAGCTTGTCTGGTGGTGAACAGGCAGGGTGAGGGGAGCAGGGAAGAACTACTGGGAGAGGAGGGGTGTAAAGAGATTCACTACGGGGGTGGACTGCAATAGGAGATGATGCCCACGGCATTAATTATGGAAAGTGTGTAAACTTCATCCCAAGGGCTGAAAAGGAAAGGAAGAGCCTTGACATGATTTGGTTTCCATTTTAGAAAGGCTACAGAGTGGGCCAGACTGGAAGCACAGAATGCCTTAACCTGTCCAATAATGATAATTGGGATGAAGGTTTGAGAGATATTTAAAATGTAAGTTGGATGGTGGGATTGGGTTCAGCCAGTCTGGATTGGAGATGGATTCATGGAGGAGGTGACCATTGCTCTGAGCAGGAAGGCTGTTCCAATGAAGAAGGTATCTTGAACCAAGTTCCTGGAGGACATGAGGAGAACAGTTTGTGTGGGGAGGTGCAAGAGGAATGGAAGAGCATGCATTCTCTCCTAGGCCTGGTAGAAGGCACAGTCTTGCTCCAGAACCCAATGGGCTAGCATTGTGACTATCCTATGGAAGCTCACCAGACTCTACACACCATCTCTTCCACCTTGACACTTCCAGCCCTATGGGGTCTGCTGGTCTTGTGGTCTGAATAGCCAGGCCTTGCAACAGAACCTGCAGCTGCTACAGAGCTCTGCTCTCAGTCTGATTAAAACTCACCCCTCTGTCTCATCTGAGCAGCACTCCCAGCCTGTCTCACCTCCACATTCTTAAGAAACCTGCCAAAAGCCATGCCTTTGTCTTACTTAGATGTAAGGGTTTGAGGTGCAACAGTGTGTCCAGTATTCTGCCGACTGCCAGGCCCCTTAAAAACATCACCAATGTGGCAGATCCTTAAATTTCCATGAAGTTTACCTCCTACCCTCTGCCAGCTGTGGTTGGAGAAATTTGAAGGGAAGAAGACGGCAGAGAGCAGGCTAATGCCAGATCAAAGATGTCATCAAATGTCCTGTTGAGGTACTCAGCACTGGGTCTCAGGGGAACCAACAGAAGTTCTTCTGTGTAGCAGAAAGCATGCTTTTCCCTGCACATCTTAGGGAATCCTTCAAACAACTCATTTTTTAGAGATGAGGAAAGTGAGGCTCCAAGAGACCAGCTAGCTTAAACAAATAGCGAGGGCTGAAGGCACTGCTGGTACCAGGAGTGGGGCCGGTTTTATGGATGTGTGGCCTATGCTCAGAAGGGTTCTACATTAGGCTTAAATCTCTGCAGTCACTATCTTGAAATTCCTTTCTAATTTTTGAGTGAGGGGGCCCACCCTTTCACTTGCACTACAAATGATGTAGCCAGTTTTGTCTGTAAGTGACACTTTTTGAAACACAATAGACAGGCAAGGAGTAGGAGGATTGGGTGCAAATGGACTTGTGGAACAATCATGGTTCCATTGGTGTGGTCTATCCGCAGCCTCTCTAAACTTCAGTTTCCTTACCTGTGAAATGGGGCTAATTTTGATGCTTGCGAGGTAGGATGACTGTATGGCTTAAATGAAGCAACATGTGTGAAGCATTCGGAGTCCTCACTGCATAGACAAGGGCTTACTGTGTTGACCATTGTTGTTGACCTAGAACTCCTGCAACTACGATTTATTTATTTATTTATTTATTTATTTATTTTTTACAGCACATCCCCAGAAAGAATTTGTATCTCGTGGCTAATGAATACTTCCATGATAAGCACTCCCTGGTTGAAATCCGAGACAGTCTTCTGGACTTGCTTGGAGATGTGTTCTTTGTGGTCCCTGGGCTGGTCACAGCTCGATATCACAGAGGTGAGTCTTTGAGTACCTCCCTCCAAAGCCATAGCCCCATGAAGCTGGTGGCTGCAAGGACCTATGTTGACTGTTGACCTGCTCTGCCTGTCTGTTCCCTCAGTGAGAGTGAGAAAATGTCCCAGTTAAGTCTGGGATAGGACCAGGCCATGCTGACCTTTGCAACTTCCCTGCCTTTTGGAGTTTGGGGATGCAGATGAGTTCCTAGACATATAGTTATAAACAAAATAAGATCCTGCCACCATGAAATCACATTCTAATCAGGGAGACGGGGAAGAAATAAACCAGTAAACATAGACTATGTCAGATGATGCTAAGTGCTATGGAGTAAACTGAGCAGGACAGGTTAGCAGTGACAGGGTGCCGTGGGCATCCACTGTATTGTAAGGTCTGTTAAGTTCACATGTGACAGGTGAGATAAGGGCTGAGAATTGAATCTGGCAACACAGAGGTCACTGGTGATCTTGACATGAAGTATTTGGTGATTTTTAAAGCTGAGGTGTGTTCTGGCCTGTTCAGAGAAGCTATGCTCTAAACTTCATCTTCTAGACTCCTGAAATATTCAGACAAGTGGAGGAGAGATTTCACCACAGAATGACCAGAAACCACCATAGAGGCACAAGAAACATGAGAAACCAAGAAAATATTTCTCCCCTAAGGGAAAAGAACAGTCTCTTATCATCCACAGGCAGTACAGTAGAACTCGTGGAAATGTCTGATAGAGAATTCAGAATATTCATAGGGACAAAACTAAATGAGATGCAAGAGTTGAGAGATAATGAATTCCAGAAGATGCAGGAGAAAAGAGACGAGTTACAGGAGGTGTTGAGGTTCTTCCATGATCTGAAAGGGGAAATACACACCATAAAAAATAACTGAATAGAGCTATTAAAGATGAAGTCTGCCATTCAGGAAATCAGAAACTCCCTCAAAAGTTTTAAAAGCAGATTAGTCCATGCAGACAATCGAATCTTGGATGTGGAAGGCAAAACCTTTGATCTAGAAAAAATAACCCAAAACACTGAGAAAATAATCCCAAAAGTGAGAATAGTATACAAGAAATACTAGACAGCATTAAGAGCCCAAACATTCAGATAATCAGTATCCCAGAAGGTGAGGAAACTAATAAGGGCATTGATAATCTATCCCATGAAATCTTGGAAGAAAACTTTCCAAATCTAGGGAGTCATTCAAATATCCAGACCCAAGAAATACAAAGGACCCCTAATAAAATCAACCAAGAAGATCTTCTCCAAGCCACATCATAGCCAGATTGACCAAATCTACAGACAAAGACAAGATACTAAAATTGGCAAGAGAAAAACGTCAGGTTACTTATAACGGTTATCCAATCAGGCTAACATCAGACCTCTCATCAGAAACAATGCAAGCAAGCAAGGAAAGAATGGAAAAATATATTCAAAGTATTAAGTGAAAAACAGTTTCAACCAAGAATACTTTACCTGGCAAGATTATCTTTCCTGTGGAAAGAAAAAATAAAAACACTCTCAGATAAACAAGACCTGAAAGAATTTGCCAATAGCAGACCCACTCTTCAAGAAGTTCTGAAAGGAGTGCTCTACCAGGAAAACTAAAGACACAAACAGAAATAAGAGGAGAAAAGGCAACCAAGAAAATGACCAATTTAATGCTAGGGACAAGAAATATCAATAATAACACTGAATGTTACCTTCCAGGATTTAAATGGAAAGATTGGACCACAGTAATAGTGCATATTCAACACAAGAGAGTTTGAACGTAAGACTGAACTGGCGAAATAGTATTTTATACTTTTGAGTAAAATAGTACCTATTTTTTTTTACTATGCTTTGTTTTCCCAATTTAAGCATTTTACTTTCTTTTAAGTTGTTAGGTTCAGCGATTTGTTAAAATATCTTTCTTGTTTGTTTCCTTAAATGGAAACATAAATTTTTCTTCCTTTCTGACCTCTCTGGGATTGGAAAATATTTGGGAGTATTCTTGTTTTGTGGCAGAAGGGCTAGGCAATGAGATACAAGGAAACAAAGGCTTGAAACCTCCCACATATGAGCAGGGTCTTCAACAAGTTCATGGAAAATACATATTATTTTTTAAAAAAATCTATACATGAATTTCAAAATCTTTTTGTACCAAAATAACTTCATCATGATGAGTCCAAACAGGATCTACTTTAAGACACTGAGAAGGATGACATCAGTGTAAAAAGAGCCTCCACCAGGACCAGCAGATGGCATAATGTTACATTGCTAGACTCCCACATTGTCAACCACAGCCTAAGTTCTGGACCAGGTGGCTTACAACTCATGGTGGGCATGTGTCCCAAGAGGAGAAGGAATTGTGGCATGGCCACCTCTGCTGGGGATGATTTCTTGCTTTCTGTCTCTCTGTCTCTCCAGCGAGCGCATGTGCCCTATAGCAAAAATCTCTCCCTCTCAAAAAAATAAAATAAAATAAAATAAAAGAAAAGAAAAGAAAAGAAAAGAAAAGAAAAGAAAAGAAAGAAAGAAAGAAAAGAAAAGAGCCTCTACTAGAGAAACACTAATTTTGCTGAAATTGAAGCAAGAACAAACATTCAATTTATGGTGAAGCTCATAAATGTAAAAGAATGGGGGAAATCACCAATGCTTTATGTAAAGCTTCTGGGGACCATGCCCCAAAGAAATCAACAGTTTACAAATGGATAACTCAGTTTGAGAAGGGATGAGACAGTGTCGAATGTGACTCTTGCAGTGGCAGCCCATCCACAGCAGTTTACAAAGAAAAAAATTAATCTTGTTCATGCTCTAATCGAAGAAAACAGGAAGTTCACAGCAGAGACAACACTCTACACTGTAGACATTTCAGTCGGCTCAGCTTACCCAATTCTGACTACAAAATTAAAATTGAGCAAACTTTGTGCTTGATGGGTATGAAAACTATTGCACCCAGATCAACTACAGATGAGAACAGAGCATTCAATAGAAATTTTAAACGAGTGGGTCAAGACCCTGAAGCATTTCTTTGAAGAATTCTAAGAAGAGATGGCACATGGCGTTACCAGTATGTTCCTGAAGACAGAGCACCACCTAAGCAATGACTTCTAAGAGGTGAAAGTGGCCCAGGCCTAAACGAAGAAAAGGTGGGCCAGTCAAGGGCAAGGGTCATGACAACGTTCTTTTGGGATGTTCAAGGCATTTTGTTTGACTTAGTAGAGAGTCAAAGAAACAGTAACATCTGCTTATTCTGAGATTATTTTGAGAAAGTTAACTTAAAATTTAGTAGAAAAACACCCAGGAAATCTTCACTAGAAAGTTCTTCACCATCCCAAAAGTGTCCCTGCTCATTCCCCTCACCAAACAAGGGCAATTTTGTGAGTTAGTTTATGTCCCTGATTTGGCTCCTTTTGACTTCTCTTTGTTTTCTAATCTCAAAAAAATTTTAAGGGAACCCATTTTCCTTTAGTTAATCATGAAAAAAGTCTGCAGTGGCATGGTTAGCCTATCAGGACTCTGTTCTTCAGAGATAAACTACATGGATTGTATCATGGCTTACAAAAGTGTCTTGAACTTGCTAGAGCTTATGCCTGGGATGATTGACTGGGGTTGGTGGTTACATGAACAGGTAGATATTTGTGAAAACTCATAAAACACTACTTAAAATATGTGCATAATGTTGTCCATAAGTAATACTTCAATTAAAATAGAAAAAGTAAGCGGAAAAGGAAGTGTAAGGCAACTGTATTGCAGGACCTTCATGGAAGAGATGCACAGAAAGGAACCAGTGACCAGAGGGGAAATTGAAACCAAGAGTGTATATATTTGTGTGTTCCTGTGTGTGTGCTCATGCATGTGCACCCATGTATGTATGCATGTGTATGTGCACATGTGTTTTGGAAATCGCAGACCAAAGACCTTCAGTAGAAGAGAGGTGAAGGAATGCAGGATAGCTATCCATGGATTGGCTTGGAAGCAGGAAACAGCCTTGTTCTATGTGTCTCCGGACAGTTGAATCAGGGTCAATGAGAGGAAATCACAACAAGGAAGAACTTGCCTCAGTGTGAAGAATTTTTTTGAGAAGTAGAACTGTTGCCTTCTCAAGGTACCCTGAGGGATAATGAGCTCTTTTTTACTTGGGGTTTGAGGGCTACTATAGTGTGAAATCAAGGCCTTACGTGAGGAAAAGGGAAGTTAAGCTGGTTTAGGTCACTTCTTGCTGCTGCTTCTTTCTTTATTTTTTAAAGAATTGTTTATTTTTATTTTATGTGTTATTATTATTATTATTTTTAATTTGACCAGAGAGAGAGAGAAAGAGAAAGTGAGAAAGCAAGCCACCAGGACTGGAACTGAACAATGGTTGGCCACGTGGGAGTCCAGCACCTTAACCACTGTGCCACCTGCCGGTCCCATAGGTCACCTCTGAGCTATCCCACCATCGGTCTATAAACCCAGGACTGGAACAGGGGTGCAGGCCCAGCTCCTTGCTCCACCCTGCTTACAGGCCTGACCATTCCTGACCTTTGTCAGATGCCGGGGCACCTGTCTACTTCTATGAGTTTCAGCACCGGCCTCAGTGCTTTGAAGACACAAAGCCAGCTTTTGTCAAAGCTGATCACGGCGATGAAATCCGCTTTGTCTTCGGTGGTGCCTTCCTGAAGGGTGACATCGTCATGTTTGGTAAGGAACTGGCTGCAGGGGCTCCTGCTCTTTAGGAAATGTGAAACATGAGGAGGTGGGGAGAAGAATTGACCCCTCACAGTTACCAGGAAGCCCTCCACTAACTCCTCTACTCTACAGAGCCTGGGAGGGCTGGTGGGTTAGAATTTAATCACCACTGAGGTTTCTGCATAGACACACCTTTCTCTGGAAAATGCCCCCGCAGATATCTTTAGAAACCAGGATGAAAAAGGCCTGCCCACATTTGTTCGATGAACGTTTCTCTTTGTACCAGAGCTTGTAGTGGATGATACTTTGGGAAACTCAAAAATCTACTTAATTTGTTTGTTTCTTTCTTTCATAAAAGAGACAAGCACAGAAAGACAGGACCCACTCCCCCACCCCACCCACAGAATCTTTGTGCTGCGATCCACCAACCCACAGTCTCAACCAGCCCAGCTCACACCTGGCGTGCTCAGAGAGATCCTAGGACATGAACCTAGGACCTTTCCCATGTGAATCTGATTGCATTACTGCCATACCTCTGCCTCATATTTAATTATTACTATTATTATTATTATCATTAATTAGAATCATTTTCTTCCTTTGCTCTAACTACTGGTCTCACTCTCTCTGCTCTTTGCAGAAATCTTATGAGGCTACTACTAGGGATTAAAAAGAGAGGGACCACATTTTTAAAAAAATATAATTCTGGCCCAAAGTGCTCATATAAATACTTATGAACTATTACTAATGATGTTAGCTCATTTATTTCTGAATGTATGACATGTTCAGTCTCTAAAATAATAAATCAATCAGGTGAGGTTATCCATAGGAAAAAAATAACAAGGAAATTACACACAGGAGCCATGACTAGAATACTTAGTTAAAAACTACACAGTGTAGGCTTTTAACTAATTCTTGCCGGCCCTGCAACAATGAGATTGTTTGCCACAGAGTGTTTGCCTGTTGCGGTTTATTCATTATTTCCTTTATTCATTCTAACACAGATCAAAACAGAACTACCCTCTAGGTTGTCCTAAGGATTACATGAAACAATTCCCAGAAAGCACACAGCTAGTGCTTAATTATCGAGCAATTGTTACTATAACACAGCACATGGACTCTCCAAACTGAAAAAAATGAACAACATATGGATCAAAGGGTTGAATTCTTTAATATCGAAAAGGTTCCTAAAATCAATGAGCACAGAACCACCTCGCCTAAAACTGGGTAACACATATAAATTGACACTTTCTGTAAAAGATAACACAAGTGGCCTTTAAATACATGAAATTTCACTCAGACTTCCTAGTAACAAAAGAACTGCAGGCCAACCATGGCTGAGGAATCATTTGTCATCAGTCAAGGTTAGGAAGAACAATACATTTTAAACAATGTCTTCAAGCAAGTGTGGGGAACAATTTCATACATCCATCAAAATCTCTATCCACATGGAGTCTTTAGCCTGGCAATTACACCTCTAGGATTTTTCATGTGTAATTACACTTCCACATGCACAAAAATATATGTTCACACTAAAGCATTGCTTTTACCAGCAGAGGCATGAAAATTTTGTAAAGATTTGTCAGTAGGATACTGAATTCAGGAATGACATATTTATATATAATTGCATATAAATAAATATTTATATATGTTTATAGAACAATAAATGGCAGTTTTGTAGGTGACAATTCCCTGGATATGATTTTAGTAAAAAGAGCAAGCCTATGTGTGCAATATGCTACCAAAGGTGTAGAAAGGTGTCTCCTTCTACCATTGTACATAAGGAAGCTGTCTTTGAGAGAGCCTAGGAAGCTGGCAACGGTGTTTGCCTCGGAGGCTGGTAACTGGATATCTGGAGGGAAGAGTTGGGAGGGAAAATTGTCATTAGATATTATACACTC